GGTGTCTCGTACGTAAAATGAGCGGGCTGTGGAGGGACCCCTCGGCTGTAGAGTTATAGGCCGGGGGCACCGTATTTCTGCTTTTCCCAAGACACCCTGGGGCTGGGGGGCCCTGCTTTGCGGCGTCTGCATCGCTGAAGCCGTGCTGCGTGCAGCTGCGGAGTTAACGGTCCTCTGGATCGCTGCCCCAAGCTGGAGGAGTGGGAGCAGCCTCTGGGCTGTATTTTGACATATGGTATTGACGTGTCCGGCACCTCACAGCTCTGTGGGTGTCGTTGTAAAGTAAATGTGAGTTTAACAATGTTCAACAGACGCAAACCTGCCAGTTCAGTAATAAATGGCATTGCGCAGGTGTTAACGGTTAGGATGTAAAAATCGGAGACAAGCAGAAAATCAGGTTATTTTAGGTGGGCCAGTTAAGCAATGAAATAGGTAGATGCTAGCACGTAGAATTTAAGCTACAATACCTGTGTAGGACCTTGAATCCCTTAACAATGACGGGGATACATTCGGTTTTGGGAGAAAATGAGGTGTGGATGACCTTCTGTTTACTGGCAGTAACTTAAAAATTGTTGTATTGAATTTTTTTTTTACATTTTCAGACAGCCAAGGTAATAGTTGCTTTAAAAGGGGGCATCGTCTGAGTTAAAACAGAGTTTGAGTGGCTTTAGTCTACCAAGAATCTGTAAGTCTGAGTAAAAAGCCACAGTGGAAACCCTTTTTATTATGTTTGCACAAAATCCTGACTTATTCGTGACTAAAATGGGAGTAAGCTATTCAAGGGTAAATAAGGGAGAACAGAAGTTAGATGTACCTTTATGAAAAAAAATATTTCCTGTTTTTTCTTTTCATTCTGTTTAGTTCTTGAATTTGAACATGTTTATCTTGAAAATCTACCATGTGCTTCGATGTATGAACGCAGTTATATGCACAGAGATGTCATTACACATGTGGCATGTACTAAGTAAGTGTCTTTTTTCCCCACTTTATCTCATTGTCAGAGATGTATTTTTGTATATGCTAGGAAGTTTTCATTGTACAAGTTTAATAATGGAAAGTTACTGTGTCCAGAGGTGGTATTTTAAGGGGTTTTTTTTGAAAACTAAGTGCAAAGGAAAGGTCTTACTGAGAAGCAAGATAAAAATTGTTTAAATAGACTAAAAGAAGGTCTAAAATCCTTATTGCAATGTGCAATATATACGGGAATACAAGCAACTGACTGTATCTGAAGAAAATATGATTCAGTAGAACTGCACAGATTGAGGAGATAACTTTCTTCTCTTCTATATATATATATGTATACACACACACATTAGTAAATAGTAACTACTGTGAAACCAGACCTAAAGCAGGAGTAAAATTTACATACTCAAAAGGGAAAGTATTATATATTTCTTCAATTCAGGCTGCTGACTTTTCATAGATTAATCCAGAGTGCATTAAAGTACTTGTTTGCTTTTCCGGAAGTGATAGTACCCATTCAGACAGATTATCACAGTAATTTGTTTGAAGTTCATTCTCTACATAGCATTAATTATAGTGCAGATTACTGCCCCAGAGTGGTGTGAAAGTGCATAATATGTGTATCTTTTTTCTTTTTTTTTTTTTGTTTTGTTTTGTTATTTTTCTTGTGTAATTGTAGGACAGATTTTATCATAACAGCCAGTCACGATGGACATGTAAAATTCTGGAAAAAAATAGAAGAAGGGATTGAGTTTGTTAAACACTTCCGGAGTCACCTGGGTAAGAATTTGCTTTTCTCTAAAGAACCTCACTTTTTCCTCCCCCTTGCTCTTAGTTGTTTGAAGAGGGAGTGCAAATAAAGAGGAGAGGGGTTCTAGGATTCATTTACTGCAGTCAGGGATTAAATTATATCTACCTACCTTCCTTCATTCCCCTGTCCTGTTATGTTTTCCTCCCAAACTGCAGGAGGGATAGGGTGAGAATAAAACATGTGGGACTCCTGCACAGATCCCCTACATCCTTTGCATTGCCTTGTGCCCTGCCTGTGGGGAGAATGTCTAGGACATGAAGAAACTGTCTATTTAAAAATAAGTGAACAAGGTACATAACAGGGTTCATAAAATCCAGAGAAGTTTAAAAAAATGTTACTTTAAGTAAGGTTGCCTTCATCCCTTATCTTTTTGTTTGTTTGTTTTTTTCCCCTGCAGTATGGAAAAAAAAGAGGTTATTTTCATCTGAAATTATTGCAACTGTAGAGTAAATTCTGCATCATTATCATGATTATCAGCTGAATTGCAATTAAGAATTAATAATTTTAACCCAATTTTCTGAGTTAGTAAGTACACATAGTCTTCTATACTATGCTAAGCATTAAATAGGCTGGGCAGAAAGTGAGGTTCTCATTGCTATTAAAAATGATGATATGCCTGATGGAAAAAAACAGTTTGATATGCAGACTATTACAATAAGAAAAATATTTCATAATAGATAGTAAAAGTACTGTTTCTTCTTAGAGTTAGGAAAAAATGTTATGGTGGGTTCTTGATCTTAACTATCAGCTTCTCACTATATACAGAAACAAAATGTGAGAACAAAGGCTATCAAGCAAAAATAAGTATTGTGAAAAGCTTATGGAAGGCTCAATTGCAGAGTAATTTTGAGTATTATGTGTGTTAATAACAGGACTGTAATAGTCTGTAGAGTTCTGCTTTTTGTCTTTCAAGAGATGCAAGCTGAAGAGCACATAATTTTTTACTGTATCATAATGTTGTTCTCAATTTTTTTAAATGAGCATTTTAAAGGTAAATAACTGCCATTATAATCTTTCATTTATTTAAATGGTAAGTAGTTCATTATCACGTACCTGATTCTAAACAGTGATAAGATACAAAGTGTTGTTTTGTAGGGGTTTTTTTTGTTTGTTTTTTGTTTAATTAAAGTCAGGTAGTTTTTTAAGTCAAAAAGGTGGAGAAACAGCTGAGCAACAGATTTATACCTCTGTAGGTTTTTTCCTGTGGAATACGGAAATGAAGTATGTCCCGTTCCTGTGTTTTAACAGTATGTTAATTTTTTTAATAGGTGTTATCGAGAGTATTGCTGTTAGTTCGGAGGGGGCGTTATTCTGTTCAGTTGGAGATGACAAAGCAATGAAGGTGTTTGACGTTGTCAACTTTGATATGATCAACATGCTGAAACTTGGGTAAATTACTTAGTTCTTGAAAATGTTTGGTTTGGATTGTAAATGGGGGTTATTTGGCTAAGAGGTAAGTCAGTAATTTGGGTTTTTTTGAAGGCTTTTTCCCCCCAGTCAGGGGAAGCTGGGTAAGTTGGCATTATCCGAAATGCATCTAGTGGCTGGAGATTGCCTGACTGAATAGAAAAATTTATGACTGTATGCAACAGAACATGAGTGGAGTAGGTCTGTGCCTTTCCTCAGTGTCAAATACTATTCACAAAGATGTGGTGTTTCTCAAAATACTTAGCTAGGCATAATTTTTTTTCTGTTGTTTGGCACTGAATTTAAAACTTATAGCCAACTAATAGTTCCAGTAGAGAAGGAATCTGGCCTGTATGTGTTGTCTTATTTGTTGTCATAGGGATAGAAATTTCCTTCTCGTGTTAGAAAGAATGTTGTTGTTTTCCTTAGTCTTGCTGTTGTAGGATTTCTGTAGTTATACAGTATGTAGCTAAAGAATCTGGGAGGAAATAGGAATGGATGTTGTTGGAATTATAATACCAGAGGAAAACAAGCCTCACACTGTTAAAAGGGTGGGTTTAGAGGGTTGGAGGATCAATAAATGCCGTACCAAGAATGGTAGAAATACTGATTTTTCCACAAGCCTTTTAAAAATGGAAAACTTATTCCTCATAGTCTACTATTTGTTGGTTAATTGTGAAACTGAATAGAAGTATAAGCTCAGGAAAAAAAAAAAAAGCTTTTCAGAATGCCTGTATAAAAGTTCATGTTATCTGCTTTGCTGGTTATAGTTTTAGTATCATCCTCCAGATAATGTAGTTAGCCTACAGGAATTGATTCCCTCTTGGCTGTCTGCTGTGGAAAAATTCCAGTTAGCCTTCATCTTTTGTTTTTGCTGGTCTTTTCTACTTAGCAGCTCTGTATTGTCACTACAAAATTGGTAAAATTACAGGATGAAATAAGATGACTTTAACATTAAGAAAAACGTAATTTGATGTTACAATAGAAGGTGCTTTTTTCTGTTTGAGAATTCTGAGAAAACTGAGGTAGAATTTAAATCAATTTTACTTCAGGGATACCCTGAGAATGCTACCTATAACATTTTTCTATAGTATGTTCCCTGATTTATCTTTAAGTAGATTTTTTTTCAACCTCAGTAATCAAGACCCTCCTCTCCCCATATATTTTTTTCAGAGATAATTGGGTTTTACCTGAAGTGAACTCTTTAATGAAGGAAACAGTATACAGCTGTAATATAAGCATTGTCCTGAATAGCCTTTTAAAAGTTAATGTTTGTTGCTCTATCTTCTCCATTACTGTTTATTGGGCAGATAGTTTCTGTTGACCTGCCTGTGAATTTTTTCATGGCTGTTTGCTCAGGCTTGCAAAGGTTAGTGTAGAATCCTAAGTTCTGTGTGGTCTTTTCAGCTCACGTTATCTTGTGTTGCCTGCTTTGATAGGTATATACCAGTATATTGCAGGGTTGATTAGCTTTGTCTCAAATTCTTCAGATCCTTTCAGTTCTAACTAATCTATACAGTGTGGCTATCTGCAAATTCCCATGTTTTATGCTTCCATCAATGATCTGGAGAAGAGCGGCTATTTCTGCAGAAAGTTTGGATAATGATGCATACATAGATCAATGGGACTTCATACTTGTTTGTTTAGGTATTTATTTGATCCTGTTCTTTCTAGTGAACCTGAGGCAAAGTTCTGGTTATGTTTCTCTTTATGAGAATCTTTACTAGACAGGCATTGAAAATCCAAATTACTAGTGTCCGTGATTTGTCAGTCCTTCAGTATCTGTTACTGTGATCTGTGAAAGGATACTAAATGCGAGTTTCCTATGGAGAATGTATCATTTCTTTGTGGTCTGTCATTTAGCTTCCGAGTTCTGGTTCTCAAAATCTTTGCTTACAGACTTTTTAAAAAGAGACATAACTTACATTATTGACCATATCTCTGGCTTGTTTTATTTGTAGAGTATGTTTTTGCTAGTAGCAAGTGAGTTCCTTCTTAAATGCATTGAGAATGCTTATTGAATATAGGGTGATTGTCTTAATTTTATTCATATATAGCTCTTTGGTTTTTGTTTTGGGTTTGGTTGGGGGGGGGTGTTGGGGTTTTTTTTGTGGTTTTTTTTTTTTTTTGGCAAGACCTAGTTGAACTTTTCTGTAAGTGTATGGCAAAGGTGCCGTTGTCTTCATTTCCACTGAAGCATTAATCGCTTAACACATGGAAGAGAAACGCTGTTGAGTCATAGAAGTTGAGTAGTAATCATTAACGCCACTTGTGCTATTTAGCTGGATTTCCGTCCTTATGCTTCTTTTATACCCACCTTCTACCTTCGCTTTCTGTCACAGGCTCTTTGTAAAACAATATGGGAGCAACAGAAATTGGCCGAGCCATCCACTGAATTGTGTTGCTTGGAAAAGCTTGGTTATAACACTGTTGAATTTTAGCAAGACAAATGTTAGCAAGACTAGTAAATAAAGTTCAAAATTTGCTTCTGATATTTGATTTCAAGTTTATAGCATAACTTGATTCTTACCTAAGTAACGCTGGTCCTTATTTCTTTTTTTTTTTTTTTTTTTTCTCCTTCCACTCTTTGTTGCAGCTACTACCCTGGCCAATGTGAATGGGTATATTGCCCTGGAGATGCCATATCTTCCGTTGCAACGTCTGAGAAGAGCACAGGAAAAATATTCATATATGATGGACGAGGAAATAACCAGCCACTTCATGTTTTTGATAAACTCCATACATCGTCTCTTACTCAGATACGGTTGAACCCTGTCTACAAAGTAGTAGTGTCTTCTGACAAATCTGGAATGATCGAGTACTGGACTGGTACTCCTCACGAATACAAATTTCCCAAGAATGTGAACTGGGAGTACAAAACAGATACTGATCTATATGAGTTTGCTAAATGCAAGGCTTACCCATCCAGCATAAGTTTTTCACCTGATGGCAAGAAAATGGCCACTCTTGGGTCTGACAGAAAAGTTAGAATTTTCCGTTTTTTGACGGGGAAGCTCATGAGAGTCTTCGATGAATCTCTCAGTGTGAGTTTGGTTCTTGCTTCTCTTTTTTTGAGGCATTTTCTTTACTTATTTGAATTTATTTACCAGCATGTTCACCTAAGTTATCATCTCTTTCTAAAGCTGAGCTTCCTTGTTGTATTTTTCTTGCAGAAAAGGTTTTCTGTGTTCTCTTCGTTGCCTCTTGTGTTGCTTTGTCCCAAAATTAATTCTTACTGATTTATGTTAGTTACATAGCGAAACAGTTGTTGATTTTCATCTGTGTTTTCATACTGCTAGATTACTTCTTACTAGAAAGCAATTATGGAAAATGCCCATTTCAAATAACATCATAATAATGAAATAAATGTCATCTTCTAAGAAATTTGTTAGACAGCTACACACTTTTCTTTCTTTGCTTAAGCCTGGTACTACAACATGCCTATTGAGTCATTAAAATAAAGTATCACTTATATCTATTTTAATTCTTCAGTTAAGTTTGAGTGGAGTAGTCTCACTTGAATTCTGTATTTTGTAAGCATGTGGATCAGCGTTTTGCTAGATCAAAAGTTTAAAATACATTCATATAATAGTGATTTTTTTTTTTCTTCTTTTTTTCTGTAGATGTTTACTGAACTTCAGCAGATGAGACAGCAACTACCAGACATGGAGTTTGGCCGACGTATGGCAGTTGAGCGTGAGCTGGAGAAAGTGGATGCAGTAAGATTAATTAATATAATTTTTGATGAAACTGGACACTTCGTTCTCTATGGAACAATGTTAGGCATTAAGGTCATAAATGTAGAGACTAACAGGTAAGTTCCAATGACACACGTTGAGATAAATATGTTTGTTTCAAAGCCTATATTCAGTCAAATTTGTAGTATATTTAAAACTTGATATGACTGGGAGGGTCTCTAATCTTTTTTTGTTGTTATTTGGGAGCCTTACGTTAGACTGTAGATAAGATACTCCCGTGCTTCGTAATGAGTCACTGCAGTTTAAAGCTTAGTCAAATGAGGAGAAAACATGGCAAGTGTATTTGTATTAAAAATGTGTAATCAATTCACCTCTGGCTAACTGGATGTGATAATGTAAAGTAAATGTGGATCATGCAGTTGGGATTTTATCGCATAAGGAGTCTGACTAGTAAATTATGTAGCAAGTATGAATAGAGAAGCGTCATAAAAACAATTAGTAAAAAAAAATTATTTTGAGAGGGTTTTGGAATTTTGCTTTGAGTCTTGCGGTCAGAAAGGAGACATTCTCTGACCGTGAGCAGCTAACAGTAGTTACACGTTTTTGCATCTTGTACTTCAGGTGTATTCGTATCTTGGGAAAACAAGAGAACATCAGAATGATGCAACTAGCTTTGTTCCAAGGAGTAGCAAAGAAACATCGTGCTGCAATCACTATAGAGATGAAGGCATCTGAAAATCCTGTTCTCCAGAATATCCAGGCAGATCCAACAGTAATCTGCACAGCTTTTAAAAAAAACAGGTTTTACATGGTGTGTGTGGTTTCTATTTAAATAACTCAATTCTTGTATTGATGTTTTCTCTGTATTATTTTTCTCCTTGCACCTTTGAGTGCTTTTGTCTTGAGTATTTGCAAACACAACTTTTCCAGAGGAGTCCCTTTACATTGCAAGTATATTCTAGAATTTTTAGCTTGAACTAGCTATAAATTGACTAGAAACATCTTTAATTTTTTCATTATTGCTCAAGCAGTTAAATAAACTTGGACGATTTTGGCTGTCTAAATTATAGTTCTTCGAGAACGTTATATGCTTTTGTTCTAGTTGAAAAAAAACCCAACCCTTAAATAAGAACATTTAAAAAACCTAACCAGATCTTATACTGCTAAAGAAACAATAATTAACTGTATGTATAAATCATGTAATAAAAAATAATTACATTCAGAGCAGCATCAGGACTCGATAGCACCCAGGACATTATGGGCAACTAACTGAGACAGGAGTAATCTTCCTGGTCGCAATTTAGATTTTAGGTGAGACACAATGAATAAGCCAAACAGACAAGCAATTCCAGAGTAGTTAGTAGTTGGTCTGGGATGTGGTCACCTTAGAGGTTAGAAATTGCTCTGTCTGTTGTTACTTGTGCTTGAATTTGATCGTGTTATCCGTTGGAGCAAGATAGTACACTTTCTAAAGCTTTGTGTGGTTAGTGTGTAGTATATAATGGAATATACTACGCTGGACAATTTGACAAGTGAGGAGGAAAACTTAGACAAAATCTGGAAACATTATTCACTGTTAGAGAAAACATGACTGTATGCATGCAGAAAGATTAGCAATTGTCATTTGATATATGTGTACTACTCACTTAAGCGGATGCTCATGTACTCATGTATTTATTCTATGTTTTCCTATGAGTACCATAAAAATTACATTTCTGAGATTTCTCCTGAGTTAAATTTGCTGTTTTTCTATAGTTTTGTATTAATGCAGAATTGGAATAAGAGGATTTAGTTTGACTTTGGAGTGAAACTAAAAGTTTTGTGATGAAACCTGCCAGTTTTGTCTGAAAATAGCAGAACAACTTGATATTCTCCACTCTTTTTTTTTTTTTAAAGAAAAGATCCTGAACTTCTGTGGGCTTTCTGTTGAAAAGGGGAGAAAGTTTAAAGATAACAGATTATAAAAAGTTACTTGGATTTGCATGTGGTTGTCCTGGAATTTGTGACTGTGGAAATGCCGATAACGCACAACACTGAAATGCAAGGATAAACTGTCTATGAATTCTCTGCCTACATTTCAAATCTAGTTGGGTGTTTAGCAGGTTGAATAATCACGCTGACGTCTTGGGTGCAGAGCAGTGTGTAAGATAAGGGAAAAAAAGCCAAACAGTTAATCTTCTGTTCTTTTGTTCTTCAGTTTACTAAACGTGAACCAGAAGATACAAAGAGTGCAGATTCTGACAGAGATGTATTTAATGAGAAACCTTCTAAAGAAGAGGTCATGGCAGCCACTCAGGCAGAAGGTCCCAAAAGAGTTTCAGACAGTGCCATCATCCACACAAGCATGGGAGATATTCATATCAAGCTTTTTCCCGTTGAGTATGTATTTGGTAGTTTTTCTGTTATTTCGTTTTTCCTTCCTTCTGTACTTTTTCGTGGCAGTATCCAAGACTTAGATTTCAAGCTAGGAATAATTATCTTCTTCCCTGTTTTCTACTGTCCTTGTTTCCTGACAGTTTCTTAATACTTCAAGCTAGGAATATGACTGTTGACAAACAGAAATCAAGTACGGTAAAAATAGGTCTAAATAACAGTTGGGGGCACAGGGGTTGTGTTTATGATTTTTGCTTTTATTTAATTACTGGTTCAGGGGGTTTATTCGTTTCTTTTGTTCTTTCTCTAATCTGCAGATGTTGATAGGTCATGATGCTCTTCTGTGTAAGCTACATATTCTTTTAAGGCAGTGCTGTTTCATTCTGCCTTGAAAAAGAATGATGATGTTGGCAGCAGCAGTAGATTTGGCAGTAGGTCTGCGTAAGCCAGAGGAATAGTAGTTTGCAACTTCCAAATGGGGCCTTTGTACTACATTCTATGTTATTGCAGCTCCTTCAAGAGCAACATAGAATTTATACCAGCATATAATATTAGCACTGTGTATATCCAAAACGAGGCGTGTAATTGAAAGAGTTTTATGCATGACAATTGCTAACATTATTGTGTGAGCGTCTCTCCTTTGTGATGCTAATATATGCAAAGGTTTTGTTATGAAACAGTAAATTTATATAATACATTGCTGTACATTGAAACTTAAACCATTTAAGTGTAGTCCATGCTTCTCCAAAAAGAAGTTCATGTTTTGTCATAAGCCCAGGTAAGGCAACACAGCATCAGTGCTACCCTGTAGGGCAGCTTGTCTTTTAAAGCTCTCTTCACCAAAGTCTCCTTGCATCAGGCCTTAGTTTCTGGAATTCATAATTGTAGCGTATAGGTTGCAGTAGTGGTAGAGCCCTTGCCAGTGGGTGACAGGCCAAGCTACATTATTTCTTGACTTTTTTTTTTTTTAGTTCTCGTGCCAGTGTGTCACTATATTTGCATACATAGTATTGCTAGGTGCTTCACTGCAATGTTTTGTATGCAATTTTAAGTTAAATACAGTATTGCCAGGCTTGGTTATTGTTAGGTTTGTCCTTTCTTGTTCTAGTATTTCCTCCCAGCTGAGTTTTTAATTTAAAATCTCTTTAAGATGAATGTGATTAAAAATTTAAAGAGCATAGAGGATGTGGCTTTGTATGCTCTTTAGATCTTCGGCCACGTGCTCGTGGAATGAAGTTGTGAAT